CGCACTATCCGCCCCCGATCGGGCGAAGTTGGCGGCAAATCCTGGTAGGGATCGGCCAACGCGCAACCCGAGTGGCATGCGAGACCAAGGGCCGAAGCTTGCCATATTTACCTATCAGGTTGTTTCTCTTTTGTGTCTGGCAGGTGCTGAGTAATGGCGACACGGGGCCAGTCTCGCCCCTAATTGCCCTACCGTCGGGTCCGTGCAGTAGTGGATTAGGTCTCGAGGGGTAAGTTCTATCGCTTGCGGCTTTATGTAAAGACGATACTCCGCAGGACTCGGATTTCGAGATTCTTTTTCCATACAGAAACCACCTCTGTCGACGAGGAGCTTGGAGCTGGCCATGGAGAGCCGACGCCCTCCCGCAGGTCTTTCGGGCGAACAAATGCGCAAGAAACGCATGCGCATCACGTTTAGTTGCACCAACTGCCGCCATAGTAAACAGAAGGTTTTTCCAGGCCGTCTTGGTGCAATTCGTCCGCGGGGACTGACAGTTGTGAAAGTGTAACAGAGAGACGCCGTGCATGACTTGTGTGCTCCGAGGAAAGCAAGACAGTTGCTCCTATGGAGACGCAATTCCGGGGTAAGTGTTTCGTGGTGGATGCTAGAATGCCGTTTCTGTCCTCGTGTTGATCAGCAAACAGTCGCACCCACAAACCCAGTGAGGGTTCGTATGTGGACGACTTCTCTAAGGCGGCCGACTTCAGTGTGCAAGATCACCAGTCAGCAAAGGCAGAGACATGGAGCCCCGACCTGGCGTGTTTCGGCTATTCCAACGTCAACGTCCATAATTCACTGGGCATCGTCAAGAAATTAGAGAATCTGGAGTTGGGAAGTACGCCTCGACCGTCGCAGAAGCAAAGGGACGTCTCGTTGTGCCAGGCCGCCTACGACAGCTACAAGGCCGTGCTCAAACTGTTGCCGTGTTCGGCCTGCGTCAGAGATCTGGTCGACGTTTTCTTCGACGAGGTCAACTGGCAGTATACCATCCTCGACCGGAACTATTTCACCGTCAAACTCGAGGAGTACTACCACCAACCCACCTCATCTCTTTACCGAGCCGAACGGACATTTCCTTCGGACAGGCTGATATTCTCGGCCCTGCTCTTCCAGGTGCTGGCCTGCGCCTTACAGTTCCTCCCAGCTGGTCACGCTGAAAGCCTGCACACGTTCTGTATCAAAGGTATTGTTGTGGAGGCGGATGGACCGTCCGACGACCCCACGATGCGACTCTTGGGCTTGCTCCCGAAGAATGTCATCAACTTAGATTATATCGCCGCGCAGATTCTGCGCACTGCCTGGCTCAAGAACCGTGGCATGATTGCCGAAGCGTGGCATGTCATTGCCCAAGCAGCCATCAACGCGCAAGAGATTGGTCTCCATCGCGACGACGGGAAACTATACGCCAGTGATGCCGAGAGTGCCTGCGTAGAGCTATGGGATATTGTGCTACGACGGCGTCTGATGGTGAACCTTTACCTCTGGGACAGGTGAGTTAGCCACTAACGAAGCCCCATGGCCCATGTCCACCCTCCTAACGCGCAAACCCAGTCAAATGGGCATGGTTCTAGGCAAGCCGCTGAACTTCAAGGCCAATGACTATACAATCGTGCCGCCGACAGACTGCGAGATCCCAAGAAATCGGAGGTCTACCGCCCCCTTTGAAAGGAGCGACTACGAGAAACCGAATACGTTCACGGTGCGATTGCTGGAGTACCACATGCACAAGCATCTCCCACAGGTCAGAGAGCTAGAGCTCGAAGGCCCGTATCTGCGTGACTATGGCAAGGTAGAGCGTCTCCACCAGGGAGCTCTGGATTACATTGCGGCCATCCCAGCCATCTACCGGTTTGAGAACCCTGACACATCGTTCGACGAGGATTGTCCCATGCTGGCCTCCCAACGGGAGTTCTTCTGCGCAACCATATGGCTGTTCATCCTCCTGCTTCACCGGCCTTATATCTTTTCCATTTCCCAGAGTCGAACCGAGATTGTGAAAGCGGCCATCCACATGTTGGACGCTCAGCAGAGATTTTTCGACAGCCTCTCTCAGCATCACTACAAGATGTTCACGCTTGTGTATTTGACTGTGGAACCTTGCGTCTCCATGCTGGCGGTGTTGATCGCCTTCCCGCACGAAAATGCCGAGTTGGTCCCAGAGGCCTTTCGATGCATACGAGAGTCGCTTTTCAGACTGAACACCATCCGCGACACCAATAAAGTGGCTGGCCAGGGTGCGGACGTGATTCGGAATTTACTACTTCGCGCAGAGAAGAATCAACCATCACCGGTACCGACATCCAGGTCCAACAGCCCTCGGTCTGATGCACACTCGTCGGAACTGTTTGCGACGCCCGGCTCTCACGGGGCGACTCCCTTTTACCCGGTGACACAGCCCCAGCAACAACAGCCAGCATTATTCTGCGGTAACACTTCATTTGGCCACATGCCGGACTGGAGCACGCCCTTTCAGCAAACATCTTCCACAGCCCCTCCAGCCCGCTCCGGGTATGCATTTGATGGAACTCCCTTTCGACCCGTCGCAGACCTGACCTACCATGACCTGGCCATCGCTCAGCCGTTTGCAATGTCTGAAGGCAATTTCAACGAGAGACCGGACCACGGCAGGGTTGGCAATGAGGCACCACAGCCGTTTCGCGGCGACTTTGGTGAGGGCTCTTTCTGGAGTTTCGTCAATAGAGGCTCAACCTAACCGAGTAGCTACGGCGCCATGATCTAGAAGAAGCCCTGCTGCCGGCGACAGGGGGCCGGAGACGACGTATGGACGGAGGCGATGAGCGGAGGCGACCGCATGTCGAGACGACGGCTTGCCGAGAGCCGTTCCACCCGCACCCACCCACTCCCTACCATGCCACGTAGGGCGGTCGTTTACTGTCGGTTGCCATTCTCTGTTCCCCCGTTTTGAGACACGATCTACTCGAGGCTGGGCTTCCGAAAGAGAAGCTGATGAGAGCCAGGACAGCCGCCGCTTGGGTTTCGAGGACGATTCGCAACATACGCCCCGAGCTCCCCATCTTTGCGCTCTGCATTGTAGGTTTCATTTCCGGCCACCACCATTGTTCGCCTCAAACCTGCCATTCTGATCCTTCGGCGATTTTACATCCGACGTTGAGTTCATGCCCCACGATACCCGACCGGGGACTGGTAAGCCCACCTCTATTGGAGGCACTGGTGCCCATGACGAGAGGGAGGGTTCTTCTTATCGATAGATATGTTCCCATGTTCCGCAATCCACATACAGAGAGCCTTGCCAGGTGGCATGGATGACCTGAGGCCGATGGAAGTCTGAGGTGACGCGGAGTCGGGATGGCATTTGCAATTGCGCGGGTCTAGATTCTCCATCACGGTGGATGGCGTATCACGCCATACCGGCCTGCAAGGATGATACGCAATGACGATAACGCAATGACATGGACAAGGATCTTGAATAGGACGAGACCGTTAACAACAGCAGCATAGAAAACCTGGGCGATCCCTGAAGGAGTCCTTAGCCCACGATGCCGGTTTGCGACAACCGAAAAGAAAGGAATAGACTCGAAAAAGGACCCTGCTCAAGTCAGGAAGACGTTCCATAGAGAAGTCCCGGTTTCCCTACCGCTTACGTACTGCTCATTCAGACTCAAGCACCCCGCCCCATCTCCGGTGTCAGTGGCGCTTCGATGGAGATCTACAAGTAGGCCGTAGGCACCGAGGCTGAAGACCTCCCCTGCACGGCTCCGTCCTCCCGGAAGATTTGGGTGGTGGTGGCGGCGGTGGTGGCAACAAGGCTGAGTTGCCCCTGAAAACGGCTGGAAGGGGGGCCACCTGATGCAATCGGTACTTACCTACAAACATGTACCGGGTACGCGCCCGGATCCAAGGTAACGCGGCGTGTGTAGCCTCCAGAGCGCCATGGTCGGGATGGCACTTGCGAGGTTTGGAGCGTTGCATTGTCTGAGAACGGGGGCGTTTCTCGACCATCTCCCAGAAGGTACAGTATCGGCCACCCATGTAGATACACAGATCGGTCGGTCGGGCAAAGCCGGCTCGGGTCCTTTTCCTCTGCAGCTTCAGCTGATGATGTGCCTGCTTCCTCTTTCTCCGGCCGTCTCGACCCTCGGCAACCGAGTCGGTTCGGGGGAACTGGCCGCTAGTGCACGAAGTACTTGGTACCTCGCCCTGGTCGTCCTGTTCGTCCAGAGACGAGACCGGAGCTGGCGGCTGGCGGCTGGCGGCTGGCGTCTTCCCACCGCGCTAAATTTTTCATCTTATCTGATAATGATTATCTGATAAGATGCTCTGCCAAGGCGCTAGAGGGGTCCCGTGATACCGTTTTCCCTTCCTCTCTCTGTCGGTCTCTCTCTCTCTCTCTTCTTCCTCCTCCTCATCACCACCACCACCACATCATTCTTCTCCCGAGAGCAGCCTGCTCGTCTCACCTCGCCGGTGTCGGCGCTCGAAAGCTTGATGGGCTCTAAGCTCATGTCGCCATCGACAAAGCCAGAATAGGCTCGAGGAATTTCAAGTGTTCTCCAGACCCTCTTCATCCGTCATCCGACTTGGGTTGGAATGGGCAGAAGTGGGAGCCGTTGAATGAAGCTCTTGGGCATGAAGCTTGTGGTTTGGAGCGGCATGGCGGTCGAAGCTTTCTGTTCGTTCTCTTTCCTGTAAGTCATGGCCTGAGCGAATGCTTGTGTCTAGTCCCCTACGGTAAGACTTCGTTCCCTCGCCCGTAACCTCAACAGTCTGTGTCCTTGCTTTTACGACTCTTTCACGTTGATATTAGTCAATCCAAATGCTTGACGAAGCGGTCAGGGATACGGCTTGAGCACCAAGCAAGTTTGAATGTCCGAGGGCGATTGAGTGACCTGTCCGGTGCCCATATACGTTGCCTACGGCCCTCATGGATGCTCGTCCTTTCTCTCTAGCTTCTCCTCGTCTCCCGTTCTGATCTAATAGCTCACGCCCATTGATTGCCCCATTACCCTCCATCTGTCTCAATGGTGACCAGAGGATTGTCTCTCGCCGCTTTGGCTGGCGCTGCTTTGGCCCAGACTTCGGCAGATCTAGTGACAGTTCTCAACGCCACTAATGGAACTTCCACCATCAGTCAGGTGGTGGCAGAAGTCCCAGGCTTTCTGGAAGCTATATCTGGGAAGACAAACCTGACCTTCCTCGCCCCAAACGATACCGCTATTGCCGAGCTGTTGAGCACTCCGGCCGGACAGGCGATGGAGGACGCCGGCGATGACTACCTCCTAAATCTACTCCTCTACCATGTCATTAATGGAGGATACAGCAACATCACCCATTACGATATCGCGCCCACCCTGTTGACCTCCAGCAATTACACCAATGTGACCGGGGGACAAGATGTTGGTATTTACTACGATGACGACGAGAATGTGGTTGGCTTCTATGGTGGATTGGACTACAATCCCGAAGGACCAGCGACGCCAATCCCGTTCGCTCAAGGATGGATCTATGTGATCGACGGCGTCTTGCAGATTCCCCCAAGCCTCTCGGAGACGGTGACAGCGGGCGACTTCAACGGCAGTTCCTTCGCGGCAGCCCTGAACAAAACCGGTCTGACTGAACAAATGGATCTGCTCCGCGATGCGACATATATCGTTCCTGACAACGATGGTTTCGCGGCTGTCGACGAAGCTCTCTCAGAGTTGAGCACCGCGCAACTGGCCGAAGTGCTCCAATACCATGTCGTGGCCGGCAGAGTTTGGCACTTTGACGACTTCGAAAACGGGACGCAGTTGACCACGTTGCAAGGCCAGTCTTTGACCGTCTCCGTCACCCCAGCAGGAGATTACTTCATCAACAATGCTGGCATCAACTATGTCGACCTCGCCGTTTCTGAAGGCGTCGTCATTTTCGTGGACAATGTCCTGAATCCTAATGCCTCGTGGACCCCGCCCGTCCATGGTCCCGAAGACGGGGTACCTGCGTGGCCGGTCTCGAACACCGCCTCAAGCACGGCATCGGCCAGCAGCACGCTTGCCACTGCCACCTACACCGGTCTGGCTGCGGCCCCATTGAAGACTGGGGCGGTGGGCGCCGCGGCCCTGTTCGGCGGCGCTGCACTGGCCCTCGCTTTGTAGAAGGATGGAGTCGACACGGCCTCGTAGCTCGAGAGAGTGAGATATTGTTGTTGCGAGAATGTCAGAGGACAAGACGGGAAGCGTGATGAGCAGAGGGAACGATAGAAGGTGCTAAGGCCCCTCCTTGTATAGACAGACGCGATATAGTACTAGGTAGTTGATGTGGCTATGTCTTCTTACCCTGGCGTAGATTTAGATAGATTGGGAGAAATGGGCTCGCGAGCCTGCCGAGCTGGAGGGCAGGGTCCGCAACAATTTCCTATTTCCCGTCTGCTCTGTTTGTCCCCTTGTCACCCTGGGACATGCATCTCATCTCAGCCTTCCACGTCCCCCACTGAACCCGTATCGGAGAGTCGCCCAATTCTGGCACTCTCGTCTTTTGGCTTGGGAGCAAAATCGGTTTGACACAAAACCGTGGAGAGGAGGAGCGACGAGGCCCTTGTACCTGGTCTGGGGAGCGAGAACGACCTTGGGCACCCCCACCGATTCACGTTCATGAATGCTCGATCGCGCAGCTTCCCTTGCGAGGCAACTGACGGCCGTTGCAGTCAAGAAGCGGACAGCCAAAGCTTCGTCTCGTTGACATGGCCTGATGGCTCCGCACGAATGAGTTCATCCATTCACGCCCAATGCACGCTGGCCTGATCGGACACAACCGGAAGCCATTCATCCTTCCCACTTCGGCTCCAGCTTCACGATCGTGGAACCCCCACACTGTGCTGTGGGAGGGAAGGACATCTTTGGTCTGCACCGTCGTGTCCATGCAAAGAAATGTATCCACCGTGCAGGGACATTGACTCCGTTCTAGGAAGAGAGAACGTCTCCCTGGTAACGGGCGAGTCTCGAGCCGCCCTGCCCTCCCGCCCTTGTGGCGACAGAGGGGTCATGAGAGGAAGACCCGCTGCATCTCTGATACACAGCTGAACTCTGTCATGGTGTCAATGGCGACTGTTGGACCCGAGCTTAGGGCCTGATGGTCATTGACTGACCATGATGATGGCGGCCCGATCGGCCGGCTGGGGTTGATCCTCTCTTTGTCTTGGACAGCTCGCTTTGTCAGGACGGCAATGGCTCTCCAGCCTCGACCGTGATCTGTCTAATCAACACAAAGGGAAACACTCTGCGGCCAGGTCCCACACATGCACAATGCGACGTCCTCCTGCTCCCGGTAAATCCACATGCAACAATACCTTGGGCGAAACTTACAGGGCCCGTGGTGGCCGGTATCGGTCATGCTGCGACTCCTGTTCTGTCACACTGGGCCCGCGTGCATGGTCCCAACCCAGGCTGCGGAAGTGAAGCTGGTCTACATCGCGCTTGATGCCGGATCGGCAAAGCTTGGGGCTCTCGGCTCCTCAGACCATTTCCTTGGCCGTCGGTCTTGAGAGAAACGCTTGACAGGCATATGACCGCGAAGAAAGAGGAGCCATTGAGATTCTCGCCCGGTGGACATGATGTTTGGACAAGTCCCGCTAAAGCTGAAGCGAGTTTCCATCTGATAAGATGGTCAGAACATTCTGGTCCATCTGGCGAACTGGGTTGATCCGACAAGTGCGAACCATGCTGGACCATCTCCACTGCCACCACTGCCACCGCTCACAGCCTGACCTCGACCGTATGCATTGGGATATCGAACCTCTCTGAGTTTCTTCGTCCCGAGACCTAGAGCGACCCCAGGAGCTCTGCTGCGTCCACTTGATGGCGGTCTGGTCAGGTGTTCTCAATGCGCCTTTCCACCCCCTCAACTCGCTGCAAAGGTAGGAGTCCGGCATGGGACTATAAATCCTGCATGTCTGCCAGGATGTTTCTCTGTCGCTTTGAAGGCGCACTCAGTGCTCTCCAAGTTCTTTCATCTGGTCTACCTTTAACATGAGGACGCGGAGTCTGTTGCTTCTCCTTCCCGGCCTCTCGTTGGGGGCCGTTGACGAGTATACCGGCTGCTTGGGCGGGATCGAAACAGCTGTTTCACGCCTCATCTTCAACGGGACTGCTACGGCTGGCTACTATGACAAGCTATGCACCAACAGGCTCGTCGTGACATCCATGTGGGCGGCCGCCAAGGTCTATTGCACTCCCAAGCAGATCGAGGCTGGCGAGAACCAGTTTGCCGGATACTGTGTGGAATATGGCGGCGTCAAGCTCATCCCTTATTCCGAGGTGCTCCCCCTTCTGACCGACGACTACATAAAGTCTCTCCCGATGGCCCAGTATAGCGACATTGAAGACCTCACCGTCTTGAACACGTCCGTCCTGATTTCCAGGTCTTTATACAACGCGGCGAAAGACACTTATGTACGTGCTCGGGCTTCTTGCCCCGCCTGCGTCGTGAGCTGACGATGAGCAGGTGATTTTTGATCTTGAATACGTCCTCCATCAAAGATACGGGTGCGTCGTGCTTTCCTGAAAAATGTCACAAAGTGTTCAGGACTCATGTTAAATTGTTCTAGGTGGGCTATGTACGGGTTCTGGGGTGGACTGCTGTTGATTGGCATGGCCAACCGCCTCGTCACCCACCTCTCTCAGGGTCGGCGCACGAAGGCCCTGGTCGACGTTGAAGGGAGCAAGGCGTCCGCGAGTTCGAAGAGAAGCCACTCAAGACTCGTCGCATTTGTCGAATCGGCCCATCACCGGCTTAGGTCGAATGTGATCATTCCGGCAGCATTTGGCTCCCATCACAATCGTCCCTTATTCTGGAATACCATCCCCACGCGCATGGAGACGATCATTGTGGTCGCCTTCTGGCTCTTGACTTTCATCTTGTGCTGCGTGGAGTATCATATCTTCTGGCCTAACCTTTAGTATGTGCTCGATGCCATCCTATTCCTCTTGGCGTGAACCACTGCTGATCTATTTTCAGTTATACAGAACCCCAACAAGCCTGGCGTTATATTTCCGATCGCACTGGCATCCTCTGCTACGCCATGTTGCCCTGGCTGTGGATGTTTTCTGGGAGGAACAACATATTCTTGTGGCTCACTGGTTGGAGGTTTGCAACTTTCAATATCTTCCACAGGCACATTGCTCGCTGCGCCACCGTGCTGGCGATTGTTCATTCAATTGGATGGTCGGTCTTGGAGGCTGGCTGTATGCTCTACGTATCTGACTTCCGTCGGAAAGAGTGATGCTGACGGTCTTTTCAGTTGGCTATTTCGCCGAATCATGGAAAGAGCAGTACTGGTACATGGGAGGGATGGTCAGCCCCTCATGCCATGACGAAACATTCATAGCATTGCTGACATGAAATGCAGGCGACAATTGCAATGAGCTTGATCGTCCTCTTCTCGTTCATGTGGTTCCGCGTCATGTCGTATGAAGTCTTCCTGCTTATTCACATTGCACTTTCTGTGGTGGTCATTGTTGGCTTGTTTTAGTAGGCGGACACCTCTCTCACCCGTTGACGCCGATCTAACCTCCGCCTACCAGCCACACTGCGATATTCGACGGAGAGTACAACGGCTACCTATGGCCACTAGTAGCCATTTGGGGCTTCGATCGCTCAGCTCGTCTGGCTCGGTGGGCATACTGCAACCTTCACATCAGGTGGTCCCATTCGGTTGTTGGGTCCAAAGCCTCCGCCACTTACGACAAAGACGGCGACTTCATCAGACTCGAGATCGTGCCTGGGTCGAACATGCTGAAACCGGGACCTGGCCAGTACTATTTCTTGTACCAGCCGCTGAAGTGGAAAGGCTGGGAGAACCACCCGTTCACGTTGGGAGCCTATGAGACCGTTGGGAGTGGTGACCAGACGACAAGCGTGGCGAAAGAAGCCGGTGCAGGGAGCCGTAACGACCCGCAGACATTCACGGCCAAGGATATCGAGGTTGTCGCCTCCGGTTCATCCTCTCCTTCGTCCTCTGATATGACCCCGGCCCCATCGCAGCATAAACTCGCGATCTTCCAAGACGCGGTCGGCCGGCAGAGATTCACCTTCCTCATCCGCCCGTTTAGCAGCTGGACCAGACGTCTGCGTGATCAATGCCTCAAATCTCCCGCCGGAGTCGTCACGCCGCGCATGTTTATCGAAGGGCCCTACGGCGAACGCAGTCCCTTGCACGCATATGAGAACGTCGTCTTCATCGTCGGTGGCACAGGAATCAGTGGCGCGATACCGTATCTGCAAGACCACATTAGACGGACAAGCAACGATGCAGAGGCGTCGCGCACGGACGGGAAACAGACGACGCGCACGAGAACCGTAACGCTGGTCTGGGCGGCCAAGCAGGCCAGCATGATCCGCAACGTCGCAGCGCACGAACTGAAACCCATGATTGGTCGCGAGGATATCCATGTCCACCTACATGCTACCGCCCGCGAGGGAGTACCACAGCGCAGCCGCGGCCTCGGGGCCCGGGGCGAGGGCGAACTGGCCGCCGACGCCGACAAGGATGATCTCAAGAGCAGCACCCCGGCCACCACCATCATCAGCGACGGCGTCGCCATCACGTCCGGCCGGCCCAACATCCTCGCGACGGTCCTGGACGTCGTCGACGACGTGCACAGTAACGCTGGAGGGAGGATTGCCATCCTCACCTGCGGCCCGGGCGGCATGGCCGACGAGGCGAGGGTGGCGGTGCATACGGCGCTGAAGCAGGGGAAGCGCGGAGTCGAGTACATTGAAGAGAGTTTCGGGTGAGTTCTGTCTGTCACGTCCACGTCCACGTCCACGTCTGCCTTTGCCTCCCACCCTGATCTGATCTGATCTGATCCCATTGCATTTCACTTTCTACCGTACTCACCACTCGTGATCTTAGATGGTGACACGTTGATCTTCGTCATTCGTCATTCGGTACTCACGCCCGCGAGAGAAGGAAGGAGAGAGAGGCTCTATACGTGAAGACGACGTGGATATTCGTGTGCATGCGTATAGATATTTATATAGACATATGCTTAAACGTACTTGAACGACGTAAGAGTTTCGACTGGAATGGACAAATTCATGAATGGAACCAGCTCTTCTCAGCCCAGCTCAGCTCTAGCCTACGTATCCCCTATTCTCC